TTGCAAAGTTGTTGAAAATGAGGAAAATGCCAACTGAAGGGAGATGATACCCTTAGACATTCTTCATTTAAAGAGTTAAAGCAAGGAGACAGGATAAGAGTTGCAAAATAACCCATGAGAATTGCTGCAATGGCGTGGGGTCTGCTGGGAGCAGCCTCCCAGTGGCAGAGCAAGAGCAGGTTCACACAGCACACACAGCTCTGAGGAGCACACGTCCTCAGCCACAGGACCAAGAGGGACGATGGGGAAGGTGCTGGGCAGGGGCTGTGAGCGAGGATCCCTTCTGCACGGCACGCACTGACCTCCCAACTCACCGCCTGCAGCCCTGGAGGCGCCGTGTGCTTCCAGCAATCCTAAGCAAGCTTGAGAGCAGAAGGTTCCTGTCTACCAGGCCTGCCAGGACATCTCCTGGCTGGAGCGCACTGTTGTGACTTCGCCAGACTTGGACTGTCCTGCGCACAGACAGAGAGGAAGCCACCCACGAGGAGACCGGTAAGATTTACTCCTGCGCTCCCCCGCGCGCTCCCGAGCTGCAGTGCTCTTGCAGGGGAGTCGATACACGCTGTAGTGCTACCGAGCAGCCCCAGAGGAATAAATCAGTGCCTAAAGACCATACACCTCCCATGACTGGGAACACAGAGAGAGCTGCAGAGCATCCACCTCCTCACAGAGCCTTTTCCACCAGGGCAGGAAACATCTGTGTATCCCTTAGGAGCCTGAGATGCTAAAAGATGCTGAGGATGCAGCTGCCTCCTGTGGTAGCAGCAACACCACAGTGTTGGACCTTGAAGGCTTTTAATTCTGTGGGGAAAGCAAAGACCAAGCAAAAGTGTACACTCAGGCGGCCTCTTGGAAATTCGACAGCCAGTCCCAGAGAGCAAAAACCACATTCATTTCTACAGAGAGATTTTATCACCTCAGTCTTGGCATGGGAGAGGCATCTCCGCCCAGCTGTGAGCAAGCAAACGCATTTTGCTGGCTTTTTTTATGTAATCAGTACAAATTCCTCGGAGATGAGTCACAGGGTTTCAGGGGTGTCCAGGGAGATGTCAAGCAGGGCTCCAGTGTAAATCAGCGACACACCTTGCCAAGATGACACACTTTCGCCTGCAGGCCCGTTCGCCCTGGATGCGCGAGACAACGGAAGGGGGTTGATGGATGTTCCCAGAGAGGCTCCCATGAGCCACGCACACGTGTGGCACCTCCGGACCCAACATGCTGCTGGTGTTTACATTTCCTCTGTAAAGACAGCGGTGGTTTGAGGGTGGAGCTGGAGTAGTTCCCTACAGCTGCTCTTGAGGCTTAAACACCGAAGATTTTGTAGCCAACTGAATTGGAGGAGCCCACTCGTTGGCCAATAGAGCCCTTTGGGAAATGGCTGCATTTTGGGGGACAGCCAGGCTGTGCCCAGCATCCTACCTGCTCTCCTCTCCTGGCTGCCAGTGCAGTGATGCCCTAGGCCTTTGGACCACCACAGACTCCAAGCGTCCACTTCTGAGATGCATGAAGTCTCCATCCCTACTAGTAGTTAACCTTTATTTAACACTTTCCATTTGGGGATTTACTGAACTTTGTAAGACAAAAGTACCCAAACGTAAAGAAATCTGGTTCTTGAGCACAAGCAGAGCTGAGGAGACATGGATCATGCATGATCTCTGAAGAGACATGGATCATCTCCTAGCACTTCCCTGTTCTATTGCTTACTTATCAGCAGAGCGGTCGCTAATGAAGGCTAGAGAAAATGTCCAAAGTCTGCAAATGGTGAACGATGCCAAATGATCCAGCTGGCTTCAGTACTTCAGCACCCACAGACTCCTCTGGGACACCTGAATGCTCTGGGGAAATGGCTTTCACTTCAGAAATGAAAGTTTTGGCTCACTGAAGCCTAGCCAAATTGCAAGGGCTTCTGTCTGGGACCTCCATTAAGGTGGAAGAGATGCCTCCCATGGCAATTGCTTTGGTGCTTTAACACTGCTAAGCCAACCTTCTGCCCCTTCTACCCTGGAACCAGTACTCCAGCCTGCAGGGGCCTACAGACCAGGCACAGGAAGACAATGTATGTGTAATTTTGATGCACAACCTGCTTTACTGGCTCCTTTAGGGACTGAAGCACAGAGGAGGACAAGAAAGAACTAAGCCTGGGCACAATCTCAGAGGTTCAAAGGTAACACGGAAGGAAACGTTGTGGTTGCTTCTGGGTCTTTGGGTGTCAGAACAGACGGAACAAACAATAGCCTTGGCAGAGCCCAGCTCTGGATAAACCTCATTTCATTAGTGCCAAAGGCAAAGTTTGCCACAAGCTGCAAAACCCTGGTAGCTTCCTGGTCTGCAAACCATATGCAGACTTTTCTTTGCACAGAGCGTGTTGGACACTTGTAGGCCAGGGTGGGGCAGACCTCCATCTATTAGTTCTTTAAGGGCAACTGCAGAATACGTAACCCAACTATCATGCCCTTCACCTTTCAACTTCACCCTCAGGTGACTAACAATTACCTGCTACCATTAATATTAAATGTGAGAGGAAGAAATGCAATCCTTTCTCCTCTCTTCACATTCCACAATACTGCAAACAATTTGTCATATTGGGAGGGGCAGAAGCAGAAGGAGCATTAATTATTGATACTCGGGAACAGATGGCTTTTCTTGTACCAGAGCAGCAAAATGTAAGACGAGCCTGTGGGTGAGGATGTGAGCATTAGATGGGCAGACACATATCAGATAACCAGCCTTCAAGTGGAACAGGAACCTTCCTCCTAGAACCAGCTCCACTGGCCTACAGAGCTCTCATCAACAGCCCTGGCTGCAGTAACAAATCCGCTGACATCTGAATTAGTGAGGCTTCACCAGAACCTTTCAACGATGCCTCACCTCTGCACAGAGCATCCTGGACATGATGACTGACAGCTTTCAGACAGCAGCAGCCTGCTAAATGAGGCACCAATTGACCGACTGGCCCAGTTAACTCTGGTTACTGAAAATCAGCCCTTTCAAAAATTGATGGAGATGGGACAGATCCAAAATGAGAAAGGTCCCCTTTTTTCATAGGCTTGCAGTGTTAAATACAGACATATACAATTAAAACCTTCTGTTACCTCCAGGAGACTCTATTGGCTCCATTTTAAATACTCACCCCTCACAAAGTAGGACATCTACTACCCTCTGCTATGAAAGGTTTACCCTGAGACCACATACAAGGTCCAAGGGTGCTTCTCTCCTGACTCCCACTGGCTTCTGCATCTCACTTTGGGTGGTGACCTTAACAATCAAGGGTCCAGTCAGCCTGAACTGGCAAGATGTGTCCACTGGCTAGCTCTCAGGAGCCAAAGGATAGGGTACCAGGTCCTGAAAAAGGAGCACTAAGTGCCTTCAGATCTGACAGGGCTCAGAATCCATTTAAAAATCATACTGGCGGGAATTAAGACACAGTAGAGGGTGCCAGAGAAGGGGATAGAGAAATCAGAAGCCAGCTTGTGGCAGACCTTGTCCTCTCCATTGCAGGCCCCTTGCAGTGGTTCCTCCTGACTTTTTTCTTCTCTGAATTCCTGTTTGGAAAGGGTGTTTTTCTTCTTTTTTTTTTTTTTTTCTGCATCCATGGCTCTGAGGTGAGGCTTTGGCATTTTAATTCCCTCCTTGCAGCAGAGGACCAGGCAGTCTCCTCTTATATCCTGTAAACGGGTATGTATTTTTCCAGCAAGGAGAGAGTAAACCTGTGGTTATTCCACTGAGAAAGGCAGACTTTTTCCTACCTCTACAGGCCCAGAAGGTACCTCCAGGATCACACTGCCCAGTCCCTTGAAATCTCTGGGGCCCTCCTCACACAGACTCTTCCCAAACTTTGTTTGGTTTTGTGGCTTCTGCTGAGAGGCTGTTCCAGGACCTCATAGCTCTGATAATTACAAACATTCTTCTAATTTCTTGAACTGACTAACGACTAATGACTAATTTCTAATTCCTCTCAGTTGGCTTAAGGTCATGTAGCCTGCAGTCTGCATGTCTTCAGGTACATACAATCTGATTGGAAAAATACAACTTTGCAACTTCCCTCCTGGCCTGGATGAATGAGGATGTACTTGTGTTTGATGTGAATAACCTCAAGGAAGCTTAAAGCAAACAACTAGTAAGTGCCAGGCGAGAGCTGCAGTCCATGAAGAACAGAACAAGCACTGTCTCCCTCAGCACGACTCCCTTTTGGACTGCTCCTCTTTTCACAACATAAAGACAGAAAAGGTTCCCTTACCTAGGAGCTAGTTGAAGCATTTCTAGAAAGACTTGGGCCACCTCTTTGATTGAGTTGAACCAAAAAATCAGGAAAACTTCCTACTATAGAATCAGCTGAGACCAGTGTCAAAGTTTGGCACAGAGGAAGGATATGTTTACACTGCTGCATTATACTTCACAAGAGCTTTTATTTCCTCTAAAAATCCTATGCATGTCACTATGATGGTACCAGCTAATGTTTCTAAGGTAAATCTAGCATTAAAGATCAATCTCAGCAGAGCTGTAAGGATATGTTTATACTAGTTAACTGCTGCTGCTTCATAGTCAGCTGAGAGCTAACAAGCACGGGCTAATCTCACCTCCTCTACATTTCACAGGGGCTAAGTAGTGGATCATCTGGCAAAAGAAGTGTGTGGATTAGAGTAAGAAAATGGATCAAAGAGCTAAAAGAGGTCACATCTTTTCAACCCTAGGGCAGAACTGTTTCCTTTCACCCTACTCCAGAAAACACTTATGCAAAACTTTTCCCCACCCCTCGCAGAAGAAGGAATTACATTATAGATAATATTCAAGAGAACTCTTCCTAGCAGAAATATCCATTTTTAACACCTTGCATTTAGCAGAATATCTATAATTTTAAGGGTAAATCCAGCTTCCAGGGCTGGAGTTGCATTTTGACCCCTACAGAAAAGCTGCAAGTTGCTGTCATTGCCCCTCTCAGGCTTCAGAGACAAGGTAGTCGGCAGATGTGTGCGCAGATGTGCTTGGCAGAAGCTCCTTACCTCTTTGATGGCCAACATCTTGATGTTCTCATAGTAGTGCAGTGGTGCATTTGGTGAGCTCATGTCATAGCCAAATCCTGCTACTGCCACCTCATCACAGTTGTGGAGAGCCATGGTTATTGCTACACTTCCCAAGGTGGGGATGTTCTGAGGAAAGAAAGCAAGAATGTAAGTCTTTAGTGGGTAATCATTTCTACAACCAACCAAAAGTTGCATTTTCTCTGCTCACAAGGACACTACCACTGATAAGGTGAAATTGAAGCATAGGGTATTTTGCTATATTGACACACCAGCTGCCCAGCTGCAGTTTGAGCATGGACAACCAGGTTATCCTCTCCCCTCTCCTGACCTGCCACTTGCTCCAAGACCAGCTTCATCCTTCCTATTTCATCTGGCTTCGACCAAGGCTCTGTGGCAGTGATGTTGTACAGCTGTAACTGCCCTTGCAGGTTCAGAGCATCACTGCTGGATGAGTGTTTCCAGCAAAAAACCCTTGCTCACAGACACTCCTATCTCCCTGTTAACCAGATGAATCCAAAGAGGTCCCTTTGCTGCAGGGGCTAGCGAGAGGCTAAGAAATCCACTCAGGTGTCTTATCTTCATTTCTGGATTACCCCGCACCAACACATCAAAAGCATCACGGATTCAAAGGATGTGCAAGAGACTTGCAAGAGCAAGAGACTCTCAGCTGAGATGCAGAAACCATCTTGCATGAAAAATGGGTTACCCTGAACCAGTGAGTAATGCTGTGCCATTTCACCTGATGTTTATAACAGATTGGGAGTGTTTCAAGCTTCTGCCTCCTATTTGAGGGAATGGACTTTTGGCAGTACGCTAACTTGCTCCCTTCTAATTGCCTGACCATGCCCCAAGACCAGCATTTTCCAGGCAAAGAACTCCACCCGTATCTAGTCGAGATGAGCAGAGCTGGAATCACAACTTAAGGGCTATGGAGAGAGTGTGTGCACTGCACTGCAACGAAGCTATGCTAAGCTGGAGAAAAAAAGTGCAAAAATACAAAAACTACTATGTCTAAACAAATGACACACTAAATCTAAAAAAAAATCAGTACAATTGCAACAGTGCACATCTAAAATGAAAAGATCTTACTAAATCCTTCTATGCCCATTCCAGATGCCAGAAAGAAAAAACACAGTCATTTTATTCTGGCTGCTTCTTTTCCATAGACAATGACCACTTTTCCTCAAAAAAAAATGTTTTTATCCTGCTTACTGGTAGCCATAAGATCTCAAGGGTGGGGTCTAAAAAAACTGGGGAAAATTTTACTAGGTAAGGGTAAGAAAATTCCAGAAAATTTCAAAATGTGTGAGAACATGCTGGCCTCCCAGGCACAGCAATTCGAATTCAGATATTCTCGGCTTTATGTTTTGCATGTGAGGAGACATTCTGATGTCACTGGAATTGCACCAGCTGATGCATGGACTTGCCACAAAACCCTTTCCCTTCGCTGAGCTGTAGTTACAGTGTCCAAAACACAGCGAGGAAACGGTTGCGTTTGTGAGAACGTGTCCTCCATCAGGACGATGACGGCGTTATGCCACCCACACTTACGCTCGGCCCATTCCCACGGTACAGCTCAAGGGAGACGCAGGGTCTTTGCCTGCAGGGAATTTCACTGGCCAAGTTAACGTTTAAGAGCTAACTTTCTAATGTGAGTTTTACAAACCACAGAGAATTAATCATACTACCCAACCTTACGGGAGAACTGCCAAACTAACACAACTTTCTCTCAAGCATATTCTTATTTCTGTTCAGGGAGTTACACTATGAAAATCAAAAGCGGACTTTCTTTTGGTCATCAAATATCTAACATTGGAACTTTAATACAGAATTTACATATAAAATACCAAATGGTTTGGGGGCAAAAATGGGAGATAGCTTTCTAGTCTGCTTCTGTTCTTCGGTAGTTCTTCAGTAGTTTCTGACATTCCAGTATCCCCATATTGCTGGCTCTTCTCTTTAATTTAATTAAAACCCCAAAGACTTCCCGACTCTTGCTCTGTAATAGACATATCCGGCTTTGGCCCTAATGCTATGCAAAATTCACACGGCGTCGTTGGCAAAGCAATTTTGTGTTGCCCTGAAATCACATGAAAAGACTGATGATTGCTACTTTTAACTAAATTACGCTTTCTCTGTGCTACTGCCCTCTAATATCATGGTAGCTACAAGCTAGCTCTGCATGTGTTCCCCTTGGACAGAGGGATCTGCAACCATCCACCCATTCACTGCTGAGACGTAGCCTCATGTCCTGCAGCTGAAGTCAGAGCCCTGTAGGCTACAGAGGATCACCAAGAAAATAACTGCAGAACTATCCTCTGGGCCATTCGCTGAACTCCGTCACTCTTAGGGTAGCACGGGGACGCTCGCGGTGCTTGCATAGCCCAGCCTAAGCAAATAGCCCAAAGAACAACACCCACTAACAGAAGAATGTGAGTGTGAACTGTGTAAATGCAGGTGCATGTGCAGCAAAGACACAAAGTGGGCATTTGCTCCCAGCGGATCACATTAAAGAAGGCAGCAAGCATCACATACGTTAAAGGGTAACAGGGGAATTACAAAGAGCCTTTTGAAAAGAAAGGAGTCCATTTGAAAAGAAGTATAAAAGCAGCACGAAAACTTGTAAGAGCGCGGAGAGACACCGGAGTGGAAAGAGCAGCAGCCAGGAGCTGGATCGGCACTGGCATGTCACCCCGCTGGCACGACGGCCTCGGCCGACAAGAGCATCCTCCGCACCAGGCACCGCGAGCAGCCGGTGTCCACCCAGAGCATGGGTGTACACATCCGAACTCGCCCAGGCTCTTCTCCTTTGCAGGTGCATTTGCAGTTTGCAGGGAGCAGTGCGGGTGCACGCAGAAAGCCCGAGCACCGCATTTCCCACGGGAGGGGGGCTTATGTAGGGCGCCCGTGCCCCCACGAGAGGGGATAACACTCGCAACCCACGCTGCCCGTGACGGGGTAGCGTGAACCTGCAGCTGTGCACGTGAGCAAAACTTCAGCATTCACTTAGACAGATATTTGTAGGTGTTTATTAACATTAAGTGTTTGCTTTTGTGGTTTATCACCATATAACTGATATTGATCCCGAGTGTACTGTTCACTCAGTCAATCACAGATCGTTAACAAGTTAATAGGTTCCTTTGATCCTGATTTGGTTTAAATTATATGAACTGCTTCCTTCCTGTGACAACCTCCTTGGTTTCTGCTACTCCTTCCCCCTGTTGAAAATGAAGCACTGCCTTACATGCAGACGGCACAATAAACTTAAGGCTCCATAGGATCTGGGGACACAGCCCAGGCTGTGCTGCAGAAAACCCAACTGAGCAGCCTTCCTCAGCTCCAAGAGAAAGGGCTCCTCCTCTTCCTCTTCTCTTCCTCTTCTCTCATGTACCTGACAGACTGGGCAGTTGCAGCTATTCTCTGGCTGCATTTACACAGCTAAATAAAGAGTTTCCAAACTCTGCTGACTGCCCACATGCTTTGAGTTGCTGCTAACCTCTGATCTGGACCTAATGAACCAGCTAAACCTTAGTGACAGATGGGGGACAGGTCACTCCAGAAGAAGTTGGGGATCGTGGACAAGGCTGTGCCAACCCTGGCTTGCTGTGCCCTGCACGGTGCGTCAGTGCTATCTCAGCACACACACCCTGTGCCGTGCCCCAAAGACATACCACAGCAACCACCACACCTCTTGCATTGCATTGTAGAAATAAAGCTCTCAAACAACGGAGCAGCCCGCTCGTTTTTGTGGACCATTGTGTTATAAAAACCAAGAAGTCTCAAGCTACAGAGCAGCCCTCTTGTTATTCTAAGCCATTATTAAGGAAAAAAAATCCTGGCATTGTCCCTCAAGAATAATCTGGATTCAGAACATCTTAAATCTTGTCTTCTCTTCATGGCACACTATGTGCCTAGATCTTTCCGGCCTTCCAAGCAGTGCCGCTTTCAACCACATGGCTTGGCAGCAACCAGGAGGCATGCCTGGAAATCTGTTAGTGCTTACACATTTGGCTTACGTGCCCTTGCGGCACGGCGCCGTGCCAGGCTCCTGGGTGTGAACACGGCCTCAGGGACCTTGTGGATCACAGCCCGTAAGGTCTGAGCTAGACCTTGGTTTTTGGTGGAGCAATGAGAGCCTCCGCCTGGGCTGGCTCCTGCTCCCAAGCTGGCCCCTGGACATCCTCCCCAGCCCACTATTGCTCCCCAAATTGCCTAAGGCCTCACAAGGATTTGTCATCTCTCCACTGGGGACAAGGCAAGAAACCAGCTCTGGTGACAACCACATTTCACAAACCAAGCTGGATTGCTGGGAGGGAACGTACCATACTGAAGGGACGGCCGTTTTGTGATCACAGACAGGACAGACAACAGGAACAAGGAGGGCACAGCCATCTCCCTGCAGACAAGAGCCTTCCTAGCACCCACATGAAGCCAGGTGGGGCAAGGAGCTCCCCCTGCTAGACTGCATAGCATCCGCTGGAATGAATGGGGAAAGATGGGAAGCAAGAGTTTTAATGCCAGTTATAATGGCATTAAAAAGTACAGGCACTGCCATTAGAAAGTACCATGCAAACATAGCCAGTCTGTGCCAGCAGGGCAGGGGACCAGAAGTGCCTTTAGCAACACAGGCAGACATAGGTTCACTTGACTCCTCCACCGTTTTCCACAACAAGAGGGAAGTTGAAAGTCTCTCCCTCAAAGAATTAAGGTTTCAGCTTGGAGTAGACCCCCTGAAGAGGCTTTAAGACGGCCTTCTACTTGCAGAAAAAAAGACGATGTTTGGCAAAGTGAACACAATCCTGCCCTTGGACTTAAAGGAGTTGGGTCATCACCTTATGGGCCTGCTCTGGAGAGCCAGGAAGGCCATAATTGAGCTTTGCTTGTTGCATGTGAAAATCTCTTGCTGCTTTTCATTCCATGCCTGGGTCATTCCTGTGTCACTGCCTTATGGACTGGAAGGAAATGACTGCTGTAAATCTGTTTTTAGCAATATTTGACTCCCTTAACATGTTAAATGAATTCCAGTTATTTACAGGATTTTACTTAGGGTAAGATATATTGAGTTGTTTAGGCCATTCCAGTTATTACCTTTTTAAATGAAAGAGTAAATGTTGCAAAAGAATAACTTACTGAAAAGCAGTCATGCAACTGTATTTTCAAATTGGTTTACTTACCACCTTAATTTAGCTGCATTCATTTATCTAAGGGAAAGCTTAAAATATTGTATACCCCAGAAAAACTGCCACTTTATTATTATTAGTTTCATCTCCAACTCCTTTCCTTCTCCTCCCCTAGTTGTTCCTTTCTGTAATTAGAAGATACTTTCAGAACCGGCAGAATCTAGATAGAGCGAAGGGGAAGGGCTAGGGGCTGGCTGCTGGAGACGTGATGTGCTGCCCAGCAGGTTTGGGTTTTGCAGTTTAACTGCCAAACTCCTACCTAACTTAGTCCAAGTCAAATATCTTTGACCACATCTAATCTGATGCACAAGTTCAGATCCACCGTTTGCCACAGAACAGATCCACGTGCCATACAGACAGCGTTTAGCAGAGGGCAAGCAAGGGCATGACCACCGTGTGTGAGCTGTTCTGTGGTAACCCATGCTAAGAGAGTGTTCGTGGCCTCCTCTTTCACTAAGAGGTAACTCCCTTGTTGATTGTTATCAGATGAAGATTGTTATCTTACACTTATCACACGCAGGCGGCTGGGCAGTTATTGAGAAGTGCTGGGCTACGCATTTGCCTGCTGCCCTGTAATGCCTGGTCCGAGTGCCCATCCCTCAGCAAGCCGTGGGCTGACCAGCCTGCACAGCGCTAACGGGTTTAGCAGCCTGGCCCATGAGCAAACCTGCTGTCCTGCAAGCCCGCAGCTCGCAGTTCAGCTAAGTCTCTATGCTTAACTAACTGTGCAGCTGCAGTGCCCCTTGGCCTGTCCCTCCACGTGCCTTGGAGGGTGCTGCCAGAGCGCAAAGAAAAGAGGCATGCTCTGCTCCTGCCATTCCCACTGCTCTTCTGCTTTGCCATACAGATCCTAGAAGTCCCAAGGTACACCCTTACACAGTGACAATGCAGCAAGAACAGCCCAGGAAGCAAAACTTGTAGTAATGAGAGAGAAAGGGTCACTGTGACCTACCAGAGGAGCTGCAAAGCTGCCTAACAAGCAAAGGGTCATCACTGGCATCTCCAGAAAGGCTGTCTGCCCACAGAGAAGAGAAGCCCTGGGGTATGAAGTGCTAAGTCTCCAGCACCAGAGGTTAATCTCTGAGTACGGGCAGCTGTCAGCGCTCTGGAGAGGTGTTAATCCATGGCGGGGTGCCTGACACAGGCTGATAACCCTCCTGCATGTGGCTCCTCCTTTGCCAAGTTTGTGCTGAGGCCGATCAGAGAGGGATGCTTTATCTCCCTAATAAGGGGTCTGCAGATTCAGTTCCAAAGGATGAACAAAGTAAAGGGTTACAATTCCAGGCAACAGAGTTTAATTTCAGAAGAAACGACACGTAAATAGTTCTATGGATGCACTGGAGCAGTAGGGAGACAGCCACAAACACCAGTCTGGACTGGGGCCTTAGAGCCCGGAGAACTTGCGTGCATCATCTGAAACGTCCTGCCAGCCACCTCACCCTGCTGGACTACCAGCTGCAATACCACTGCTGCTTGGTTTCAAGCCCAGACTTACACACAGAACTACCACCAACATGTAAACCACATATATTTATATCATCATCTAGCGAGGCAGCCAAGTCTGTGCCCCTCTCTGAGAGAATTCTTTAATCAAAGACAAGATCCTTAACAGCTCATTTCTCTGGTGCTAAACTAGCTCGAGGCGCAGATATTTCTTTAATTTTCCCCAGACACTGCTAGCATCTTAAACTAAAGCTTTTCTTTATCATTGGCTTGTCCCCCCAGAAGAGTGGAGCTCTCTCTTTTCTCTAAGACTTCAGTAAATGGTTGACACAGCTCCCCAAAACTTTATTGGTCCCAGAGGGAAGTCACTGTTCATTGTGGGTGTCCAGTTTTGCTCCTCGATGAGATAAGTACATGCTCCAGTCAAGCCCCTGCTGCTCTAAGGCAGCTTCTGGCTACCAATGCCACATGTGCAAACTAAACGCATGTCTGTGTTGTGCCCCTTTGCTATCCTCCAGAACCATCTGGCCCAAATTATATTATCAAAGCGAAGGATGTTACTACATTCACCATTTATTGGAATCTGGGAGAAGAGCTTTGGGATCAGCCCTGAACTGTTTTACTAGCTCTCCTCAACTTTGCTGAAAAAGCCCCCAAATTACAAAGTTAATTGGCAGCACATTGTTACCATATGTGGCATGCAAAAGGAGCCCTCAAGTTTATTTAGGCATCAAAACCAAAGAGAAATGGAATATTACTGCCCTTTATGAGGATTTTGTGTTGGCCTTTATTAAGGCACCTCCAGCCTTGATCCTCGCGTGCGCAGCCCTGCGGTGCCCTTCAGCGTGGGGGCCACAGTGTGGCCCCATCCACGAACCTGTCACCAGGATCTGCCTCGCACTGTTCCCCCCTCTTTGCACCAGCAGAAGCAGCTCCCACTGAAGCGTTTGCACTGATGCAGGGTTCACAAGAGTGTGAAGTGCCAGCAGCTCCACGTAGCTGACATTTGCTGTAAAATTTGTACCATGGTGCACTCTCTCTCCCTGCTTTTAAGAATCACTATATATTAGACTGTTCTTGCACAGACAACATGGGTTATACTAACACTCCAGCCCACCTACACCTGCAGAACTCTTGCTGCCCCATTTAAAGGAAAAAAAAATTACACACTCTGACAGGGGTCATGGGCAAAGACTGCTTTTCTTAGAGCTCCATAAATGACTTTTTTAATGTCTGAATGGAGTTTCATGAAGTGAACCATCAGTTTTCAATTAAATTGCCTTCATTTCCCAATCTGATGTGTGTTAAACAACCTATCAAAACCTCATAAACTTCAGTTCACAGCATTTTCATTTCCGGATTCTCTCTTCTCTCAGCTTAACTAATATCTTGTGTATTAAAATAATGTATTATTTAAAAATATATAGAAAAAATAAAGGCAACTGCTCATTATTTGTGCCCTTCACTGGGACAGTCTTGATTTTCTGGAAGACAAGTGGAGGCCAGAAGAAAAAGTAAAAACAGAAGTCTACTATGCTGCTACTTCTGTCATTTGCCTTGCTGTTGCTTACTCCTCTTCATACCTATATACCTACCCCTCTGCCCATCAGGCCGTTGTTGAAAGGCAGTCCAATGAAGCTGAAAGCTGCCTCTTGGATGAAGTAGGGATTCAGGATACGTATCTCATGAGGTTCCCTTGGGACACGGGTTGCAACTGACTTCCAAAAGCCATCAGAGGCACTCTGGAAACAAAAAGGAGAAAAAATAAAAGAGAAAAAAATAGAAAGGAAAGATAAAATAATGAGCACAATTGCATACAAAAGATTGGCATTAATCTAATGGCAGCATATGCAGATACACTCAAGACAGTCTGGATGACAAGTGCCATAAAAAAAGAGGGTCTGGGGCTTCAGCATGAACAACCTCCCCACCAGGGACTTTGCTTTCAGTCTTATTGATACTTCAGCTAGTCTGATTAATGGTTTAAGCATTCCAGCATACGCTGAGATCACTCTCACCTGCAAGGAGACATATCCTTGGCAGCAAACACTCCTGAGAACATTCAAAGAGCTAAATAGGGCCATCCACCTCTACTTTGTATGTAGGTTACGTGCTTCTTTAGCCTAGATTATCTTCTGTTAGGCTTTATGTGAAATAAAATGTAAGCTTATGAAAGGTCCCCTGTAAAGAGCCATGCATGTTCACAGTACAAGAGAAAAACAACCAAGTATGTCCATGTTTTCCCTCCAAATTGTTTTTTAATTCAACTTATACACATGAGAGGGCATTGCCTTTGAATATAACCCTGCTACACAGCCCTGCCTGAAGAGGGGTTCAAGTTTCTCCACCCCATTACTTCCTGTCACTGTTCTTGCTGGTCCAGACAGTGTCACGGGCATAGCATGATGCTCGCAAAATATCTGGTTCATCCTTGTCACAGGACTTGCTGAACAGTAACACTGCACTGTTTCACTTCTGTTTGGGTAGATATTCGGAGTAAGGGAGGAGAGCAAGAATTTTAATCTGCTAACAGCCTTGGTGGGGTAATCTGATTCAATACCTCCTCCTCACAGCATTGAGCCATCTCCATGACACACAACTGACATGGACATTAAACTGCATAAAAAGCATGTGCTTAGAATATCTCACATTGCCATTTTCTGCACCAGCTTTAGGCCACTTGCAGTTTAACAGCAACTTCATAGTTGCTTCCACATCACTTCTGAAAATGCTGATAATCCCTCAAAAACCTCCAGGAGACCTCCCGAACCCTGTAGAGATCACCACTGTGATTGCCAACGTGAACTCTGCCGCAGCCTGTTCCTTCCGCACTTGACCAGCGACACGGCTTGTGGCTGCTCCGAGATCCCACAACACGTCCTTACCAAGGCTTCCACACAGAGGCGGCACATGGCTACCCTTTGGCACTGAATTTTAAATTCTAAAGAACGAGACCCCTATTTCGGTCTCTCTTTTCTCAAAGCCATGGTCATTGGCACTCAGGTACCTGTCTTTTACCGCCATACTGAGTCCCCAGTTGGCTTTTGCACTTTTCTGCTCAGAACTAGTCAGGTTGGTCAGAGTAGATCTGCCTCGGTCATCTCACTTACTCCTATTGCACAGTGTTAGCTGTTAGTAGTTATCCAGCCTTTGAGATTTTCCCTTATTAAAAGAACTTTTACAAAATATTCCAAAGGAGCACAGGGGAGAGGAGACAGATCCTTGCACAAGTTCAAGGAGAGAGATCATTCTCATACCTCTCTGAGAACCCCTGGGTGCAAACTACCAAGCCTGTTGATTTATAAATATTTACTTCTTTTAAAGATTAAACATTTTAGTCATAACATATTAATATCATGGAACATACTTGCATCATCCTTTCATGATCAAAACACGCATTCCTGTTTTGTTCCAAATACCAAGCAGAATTATTCCGTGAACATTTCTGCTGGTTTTGCAACCTTATTAACAACTTAATCCCTTCCACTGCCTAGTTGTCTTAAAGCATTCCTACAAACACACTGGGAATGAAAGAAACCTAAAAGCTGTTCTCTCACAGTTTTTAGCATTAAGTCTACTATTTTACTTAGTCCCATTGTGCCACATCTATCCTATTTTGATATGACATCCCACCTCAACATTGCCCATATGTGATACACTTCTGTTGACCACCACCAGTGTCACATCCTGACAATGGTAAAGGGCTCTCAAGCTCTAGATGGAAAAAA